CTTGCAATATAATATGCGATTGTTGCATGCTGCTAGCTGAATTAGCATGAAAATGCTTCGAGTGCTATTATAACATGTAGCTCTACAGTTAATTATTAGTCAACAAACGATACTGTTATTTTTAATACACTAGTTAGTATTGGAAGTGCCATCAAGTAGTAACCAATAGCAGATGATTCAGTGATACTGTTATAGGAACAGATTAGATTTAGATTTTCTGGTGTTACGTAATCGCACCTTATCTGTTTAGCAGGTCCCAATTTCGATCATTATTAGCGAATTAGGTCCACTGCTGATTAAATTTGCAAATAATGATCAAAATTATGAGATCCATCTTTAGCCCAGTTAAGTGTTTGGCCTGGTTTGATGGAATAAGTTAATTCAATACATGGGCGATCTGCCGTGGAATTTTAGGTGTTAGACACGCGAATAAAATTCAGAAAACTCCATAAAGTAGTTGTCAGGCGCCAATATTCAGCGATTTTATTCATTCGGCCACTGATGGATGCCCAGTTGAGGGATGAAGAATTATCTAATTTACTTAATCATCGAAGACAAGTCTGTCCAAAAGGGACCACCATTTATTTTGTATTCCAGACTTTACACATACACATCTAATTTACTCCTCTATACAAAATATATGACTTGCAATAAATTAGGCTTTTTGCTAAGTAGCAAAGGGACGAATAGCCAAAGATCTGCTAACAAGCAAACCTCAAACTTGAGGCAAACCTTAAGAACAATTTTAATTATGTCAAACTTCATCTTTAGTCCTTTTCTAATAAGCAAATAAACAAAGACCAAAGAAGAAGTTTGCCATATATTGAGATCTGTCTTTTGAAGTTTGTAGAAAGACATCTGGACATAAATTATCCACGACAGGTTATAAGAATCCGCATTAAATTTGAGTTCAGATCTCCCAAAACACACTAATCTATTCGGTCTACACTCACAAAATTCAATTTTTAAGAATAAATAAAAAATTTTGCCAGTAAATAACCGATTAATCCAAATACTTAAAACTGTACAGAATTTGAAAAAAGCATTTAAAATTTTCGATTAAAATCAATTTAAATGCAAAACGAGAAAGAATTCTACAGTTTCGAAGATAAGAATAGCATTGAGAAGAAGTGACATTCTTTCACGTTTCTTTTTTGTATTCCAGTTCAGTCCAATGATTTTTCTTACGTGCTAACATCATTAACTAATTTTTAAACTGAAAGCAATTTAATCGGATAATCGATGCACTAATTTTCATTTAATATTTTGCGCAATATGTTAATTGAGCATAGTTAAATGGTTTATTTACTTTACTGATGCGAAAGCATGTAGAATCTCCTCGTTATTTATGCTTCGTGCAAAAACTAGGTTAAGTTAAAGAGCAATTTTCAATTTTTTTCCAATTATTTAATAAACTATTAAGTGAAACGTATCACGAAAATAAAAATCGTGACCCTTTACAAGAGCATAAGATGCTATTCCAATTAATTACAAATGGAATCATTGTTAAAGGATATTTGTGGAAGATTCAGAGTTCAGTAAAATTATTTTATCATCACATTTTACTTTGTTACAAAATTTCTTTAAATATTTCTCATTTTCTTTCGTTTTGTTGAAGGAATTCGTTTCAAAGTTTAAAAACTATTTAAAAGTCGTTAATTTCTTTTCTTGGAAAATTGTTAATTTCATTGAATTTTTTTAAAAATACAAAAAATAAAAAAATTTACAATTTTGAGTTTTTTAAAATGTCAAGTTTTTTAAACTAAATTTTTCTTTAAGTTGTGAAAATGACAGTTTTGAATTTTTATAAAATTGTAAATGATATTTTTTTAATTTTAATTTTTATAACTGATTAAATTATTTATTTTCTTTAAAACTAAAAGTTAAAATATTTAGGACGAAATTTAAATTAACTTTAATAAAAACTAATTTTAGAGTTCTTTATATAAAGTTACTATTTCAACAGTTAATTTTTCTAATAGGGAAATGAATTGTGGAAGGTATTACACCCATTTACAAGGAAGAATGTCTAGCTTTAGGCAATTTCAACGTGTTATATTTATATTATCGAAGAGAAAGAAGTATAGATATTTTCTCGTATTTTCTTTGCATGCAATTTAAGAGGAAAAATAACCGAAAGTATTCGCAAATTAAAGAAAAAAATTGTCCAATATTTTATGTCGCCAATGCTAAATTTAGATTGTTTAAGCCGAGTAGCCTTGGATCAATTCTCTACACGACTCGAAAATATTTTTAAAACATAAATTTAGGCGTTACTTATTATAAAGTATGTGCTTANAATAACTGTAAAAAAATCAAGTAAAATCGCAAATTAAGTAAATTCATTTTACAAGAAACGAACTTCGATAGCACGCCACTTCGTATTACATAATTTAATTTGTACAATTAAAATTTAAAATAGGCTAAATATTGTACAGAGTTGTCCCTGAATTCGAGCAAGGTTATGGAATTATATTTCCAACATTCTTTCCAACGTGAAAGAGCTATATCAATGTTGCTGATTATAAAGGAAAAGAATTGATTCGCTAAGAGAAAAGTCACGTTTTTATTATTATTCTTAGAAATACTCCTAAATTAAAAGTATCAACCATTATTCAATTGCTATCTGTATTATTAAATCGATGGCATTAGAGAAAAGAAGAAGAAATATATCTTCTCTTGCACTACTTGCAAGAATGAATAGGCAAAATTATTGCCTATTGATAATGATTTTTGCACCGTTTAAGAAAAAAAAGGTGGGTTATCCCCTTACACAAAGGCAAAATTCAAATAGATTTAATGTTATTTATTCCTATAATAATTGCCTGCAAACTTCGGTTTCTAAGAATCTTTAACTAACCATGACGCATCATTAACGAAAAATAAATGTAACATCACGAAGGATTTTTTCTTTTCTTTTTTCCTCAACTTCTTCATCGTGACAATCTTCAAGTAATATTTTATTATAAACACTTTAAACTTATAAAGTATCGTGCGGTTATCTTCTAATAAAATAAGGAAGATTATATAATTAGCGTATCTATTGAGGATAATTTATTTATATATATGTTATATTTCAAGTTCTTAAAGGATAATTAAAGATTTTTCTGAATGAACTAAATTGCTTATTTTTAGAAGGTAATAAATAAAAATTTTTGTTGTCTATCGCATATAAGTTTCATAATAGGTGATGTATCTACTTTCAAACTGATTTGGCTTTTTATCTACTTGTGCTATTTTAGACAATTTTCCACGGTTAGAAAATATTTAGTTCTTAATAATTCATATTGTCTTTTGTTTCCGTTCCATTCTGAATGAATTCTTTGTAATAAATGCGATAAAATGGAGAAATTTAGAACAAAATTGGTTTTTCTCGAATCCCAACCTAAATCCAAAATTGTAATAATGCTACTTTTCTTCGATTACAATTATCCTCCTATTGATAATAATAGTAATTCCATTCGGATCGGTTGCTTAAAAAATTATATTTTGTAATAACTTAATCGGGAAAAATCGAGATATACAATTTACTTAGTAGAATTATTTAATATATTATTTATTTAAAACTATTTATGATAATTTTTCGGTTGTGTAACTTTATTTATTCTCATAAAGTAGAACGTCGAGTTCGTCTTCACTGCATAACAGATGGTTAAGTAAGATATATACGTGTACATTACTGAAGGTTATATTTAATTTTAATAGTACAGAGCGATTGTTTTTGATCGTTGTGATAATATATAAAGTTAGTAACACCGATAATTATAATTCATAAACCTCCACGTCATTGTAATCAGAAAACTAATTTTGAAGCAAGAGAGCGATGACCTGTAAATTTTATAGAATAGAAAAAAAACGCAAAGGAGGGATCCAGTTTGCTCACAATATGAGTAAATTCTACTTCATTGATAGAATCGATAGGTATATTTTGTTGATGTAGGTCGAACCTTTTCCCAATACGTCTAAGGAAACATGGAAGAAAGATTCATGCATGGTTTAAATCACGTAAAAATGTGGAATTATCATTCTATAACTTAGACTTTTAAAACACTTGAAGCGGCTCAAGAATGTATTAAAGATCTTCATCATTTTACATTAAATTATTTTAAAATAACTCATTGTTTTCTTCAACCACAACGCAACTTTATTTTCTAAGTTAAAAATTAAGAAATTCCTTTTAGTAAATTGTAATTTAATTCGATTTCTATTAAATTGTATTCAGGCAATAAATATATTAAATTTAAAATATATCTACATAATATAACGACCTTCGTGATATTGACACCAATAAAGTTCCGTTGGAAAAAATTCCTATAATATTTTTGGAGAAAAAAATATGTAACAGACGTAACATAAACGTTACGTCATCTTTGACGTGTACTGACTCTTAAATAGGCAATGATATTCAATTTAAATATGTGATAATGTTAAAGGAAATCACGAATATAATAGGAAAATAAAGGATATTTTTATTACAATTTTTTAAATTAAAGAATTATACGATTAAAAAATTTAATGTAACAGCATTAAAGGTTATTAATAGACATTGTTACTAACTATTAATAGAGAAAAATCCTTAATTAAATACTGTATCAGTTTAACGTTTATTTATAATTATTTTAATGAATAATTTTATGGTTTAATTAATATAAAAATTAGAAAAATATATTTTGATGTTTATTAAAAGATATTTTTAAAATATTTAAAAAATTAGGAAAATTTTCTTAAGGATAGGGCGTTTTATTCCAAAAATTTAAAGTTGGGAACAGAATAAATAGCCTTGAAAGGCCGTCTAAAAAAACGTACAAAGGGCGGAAAAGTGAAATCTATATTAGTAAAAAAACATGGCAGGGATAGGTAATACTCTCCTTGGTATAACAGTTCAGCGACCCATTTCTGTACAACTTAACGTTTTCTTCAAGTAGGACAATCGTTCTTATTGGCGGAGATCGCATATAAAAGTCAGGCATTGAGCATTCCATGGCACTTCTTTCCCGCAGCTCGACGAAGTGACTTATTCAATACAAATTTATAAGAGTAAAATAAGTATAGGTATGTATACGAAAATACAATTTAAGGACTTCAAGGGAAAAGTATCCATTATCGATGTGTATGTAAATAATTCATTTTTTTATTTTTTTATTTTTAGGATCGTCATGAAGGCGATATGCATCCTCTTATTAACATTCCTACTTGATTCGGTTCTGAGTGGGCATATCTTAGGTGGTTACGGGGGAGGAGGAGGACACGGATTTGGAGGTGGACACGGATTTGGAGGTTTCGGGGGTGGACACGGACATCACCACCACGTTAAATATATTGTAAAGGAGCATCCCAAAGTCATTACTATACCTCACCACGTGCCGATCCCCAAACCATATATCGTACACAAACCGTATCCAGTAATCAAAAAGATTCCTATACCTAAACCTTATCCAGTACCTCACGTCGTCCACATCATCAAGCCAGTACACAAGGTGATACCCGTCCCCAAAGTAATTCCCATCCACAAATCAGTTCCAGTACCCAAGCCTTATCCAATTCACAAGATCGTCAAGGTACCAAAACCCGTGGTCATCCCCGTGCCAAAACCGGTAGCAGTACCTAAACCATATCCAGTACACGTACCAGTTTCCATTCCAAAACCATACATTGTCCCCATCCATAAACATTATCCAGTACACATCCCAAAACCAATCCACGTTGTACACGAAGTGATAAAAGAGAAACCAGTCATCATCAAGAAACCCGTTCCTATCTAGTAAGTACTTTTTAATGTTTTCTAAAGGTTGATGAATTTAAAACGTGCTCTATATATATTTTTTTAAATCTTAATTATTTCATTTCTCGTTTCTAATTTCAGCCTGGAACACAAGAAATGGCATTGGTAAACAAGACCTAGATTAGACCTGATTCAATTTACCAATTTTTTCACCGTCTGGGACGATTAATGCAACCTGGATGTACCCATTGGATTGATCGATGTATATATTTTTTATATATAACGCAGGACTGTCACACTAGGGGTATATACCTAGTGCGTGACAGTGCACCACACGGGTTTAATGTATTATTGGTACTGGTTCTCCTTCGAGAAGCTGTGCCCCAGTTTGCTGTGTGATACCCTATAATCTTTTTTTTTTTTTTTGGCTATTGTATGTCGAGTGGTGTTTGATTTTTACTCTTATAAACATGTAAATAATTCTGCTTTTGTACAATAACTGCCAAAAAAGAAAATAAATCATTCAATATTTTAACTGACTCAATTTTTATGCTTAAAAACGAAGCGTGTTTAACTAAAAATACGGTTTATAAATATCTATAATTAAAACACATTATCTGGATCAGACATCTCATAAACTAGATCAATAAGTTTTTCCCTTTTCGAGAGATAAAAAGATATATTTTAAATAACAAATGTATAAAGATTACACGCGATTCATCTGCATGAAGAGTTCATTTATCCATACATTTTGTACGTACAAGGAAAGGAACTAATGAGAAAATAGGAATCATTGACATAGAAACACTAACCTGTGTACCGTTCGTGTAAACTTGATACAAATCAATGTAGAAAATTCATTACATGTTCATAACATACCGTTAATTTAAATTGTATATAATTTTCACATAGCTCATTGTAATTTAGAAAAATGATATTTTACACCAATGCATTTTATTTTAGTTTCCTTTTCTTATTTAAAAATTGTATTATGAGTTTCATTAATGAGAAGAGAAAACGTTACAATTTTTAATTGATTTCGTTTCTTGTTAATTAAAGTAATTCATGAAGTTACAAAGGGAACAATACTCTGTTAGAATTTCATTTAGTTTAAGAATTAATTTCACAAATTAATTATCTATCTCCTCTCTCATTTTGTGTGGAAAAAAATTAACAAGACATTAAAACTTTTTATACCCCTTGAATATTTAAGTCTATTGTCATGTGCTATATATCAATTTATATAAAATCAATTTATATAACATTATAACATATATATATTTATATAACGTTATAACAATTTATATATGTATAAGACTGCCTTTAAGAGTTAAGGCCCCCTGACTAATTTTGAACTCGAACTCACGTCTCCTTAAAAAATGGAATATGGCAACGAAACACTTGGCCTTCTGGAAGGACTTTCTATGAAAAACTGGTCTATATTTAGGTTTTAGACACTTGAAGAAAATCTGGAAAATTTCACATGACCGTGGGTCATGTGAAATTTTCTGTTGGCGTGGTGCCCCACGACCGACTACCAACGTTCACTAGTTTTATCCACTCGGCCATTCGTGCCTTTAAAAAGATGAATTTGGAGATAAGTCTGTTATATCTCAGAATCTAATTATTGTAATAAAATTAAGATTATAACAATAAATTTAATAAGTTTTGGGTTGGGTGAAGTAAACAAGTGCAACAAGACGTAACATTTTAATCAGAAATTATACTAGTTTGTATTAACTCTTATTATTGCTCCGCTAGCACTGTTTCACTATCGCAGATTTCAGATCTACCATAGTAGAAGAGTATGGAGAGAGTATTTTAAGAGGGGGAGAGAAAGAGTATCGAGGAAGGGAGGGAGAGAATGAGTATGAATGCTAAAAGGGGAGGGGAACAAAGACAAAGGGACTTCCTCATACTTCCAAGGTAAGACAAAGGGGACTATGAAAGAAATAGAATATTATATATTCTTTACATAAAGATATAAATTATTTTCTTTTTGCTATTTAAAGCTAAATTATAAAGGAATTTTCTGTAAAAATCTTTCATTATACTATTTTAATTAGGAACTATTTTAAAACCTCAAATTAATTTTAAAACAGTGTAAAATTACAATTCACTTAAATTTGATAGACGATATATTTTTAAAGCACGAAACGTTTTAAAATCAAGAATTTTGATTAAAAAATTAGTTTATTTATAAATAAGCAAAAATTCTCTTTAAAAATTAGTATTTTTTTTAAAGTTACAAAAATATTAATAAAATACGTCAAAATATGCTTATTTATTAGTGTTTTAAAAGCAGGAACGATTTTAAATTGCAACATTTAAACAAATTATGAGCAATTTTTAACATTTATTCAATATTGAATAATCATCACGTTGTTAAATTTTATAGAAATTTATCAATTGATTTTTTTTTAATAAACAAACTTAATTCATGACTCATGAAAGTTTCATATAATTGATCAATTAATTAAAAATAAGTAGTTCGATATTCTATTTTAATGCCATTACTACCTGAAATATTGTATGGCAGTTTCAGAAGAGTAAAGAAAATAATTGATTTAAAAAAAAACAGGTTAGACATACTGACGGATTTTTGCATGTATAAAATACACCGAAGTGTTTTGTATCTAAATAATTTACTCTATTATAAATATGTATTTTTTGGAATTTTTAAAAACATTAAATTACAAAGGAACTCATTGAAAATGATAAAATACTCATACACAGAGCAGTCATATGTTTATTTTTAGTGTTTTAATATAAAAATTCTAGAAAAATTTCAAGATTTTTACTCAGATTATTAAATATAGGAAGTAAATTATTTTTTCCTTATATTTTTTTATATAGGCCCTATATATTTAAAAAAAATAATATTTAAAGCGTTAATTTCATAAGAAAGTGTAAATGACAGAAGCCCAGCGCAGTGGGAATAATGGTTTTGTATCTATTTTTAGTGGCAAAAATTTCAAAAATAAAATGGGAAAAAATGTTTGTCCTTGTAAATAAAGAGTTAAATTTTTTTTAATAAAAAATTACAAAAAATTCATATGTGTATAACATAACAAGCGTCCTGTATTTTTTCGGGCGTAGCCAAAGTGAGAGTAATTTCTGAATAGTAAAGAGAAGAATTCGAAGTTCCGGTAGACGAGACAAGACCTAGAAAGTTTTAGCTCTCACATCACCCAGAAATCATCCTGAGCGTGAATGATTGACGGAATATATGCAATATAAATAAAATTTTATTTCTACTTTTCGAAAATCGTAATACATTACGAGGTCTTTCCACAACATTTGCCAAATAATTTTTTCTAAGTGCATTCACCTGCTTTTTTATTCTTTCATATTAAAAAAACAGAATAAACTTTTCTTTTCTTTAATTGTTCGATTATTTTCTTTAATTCACTTTCCCTCAAAAACATTGATTTATATAAAACTTTTGTTATAGACGAGGAAATAGGATGTTAAGTTTTGCAAGAGTAACCAACGAAAAACATTAATGATGTGATATGAGTTATGCACGGGTATACCGGATTTATAAATTTCAATGTCATTTTTAGTATCACGTAAGTAGGGATTTGTAATCTTTACACGAATCCAATCCTCAATTACTTAATAAAGAATAGAAGGAAACGTTGGCATGTGAGAATTTTCCCATTCGGATGTAATGCACATAAATGCTTTCTTCTTATATGTAAATGAAGCATCGGCACACTTCTTTAAAAACTTTCTACAATAAGCCTATTTAAATAGAGTAAACTGGAACAAGTATAGTGCCCGAAAACGTAATCAGCACCTGAAGGTTATTGACCGAAATCTTAGGAAATTTACTTGTATGTACAGTTGTACTGACATGCCAAACTAAAAACAAGGCACGACTTGAGTAGAAAACTCTCTCTTTCCTGATAGCTGCTGCTGTTTTTCTTTTTATATATTTTTTAATTCTATTCTATTTATCACCGATTTTTCTTTGTAGTTATTTATTATATGCTCCAGCAGGGACTTCCCGGAACCACCTAGAGTGGCCAGCCTAGTAAATCAGCTAGTAAAATTCGAATTACCTACTAAAAGATCATCTCATCCATCGAAAATGTAATTGCTCGAGTTAAGCAACGTGTGTCGACAATAGAAAATCTATTTAATATTCCGAAACATTGCTTTCAATTGCTGTAGTTCGTCGCAACACTCGACTTTAGGTGAAGATGGAGTTGGTATGCCCCATTTCCTTTTAAGAGTAGGCCTATGGTACTTTCAATTTTGTGATTTCAGCACCAGAAGATTATAATTTCCTCAATTATTAAAGGCGATTGACCCATACTTCGATTCTTACAACACATACACAAATTTAACTATATGTTCATTCACCGTATCGATATTAAATCATTTATTTTATATTTATATACAAATTTTTTTTTCTGTATGTACGCGCAAGATTTATGTGTGTATTTATAAAGTTCTTATCTATGCATTCACTTATTTTTTTTTTAATTTTTGGACGAATAGTTCATGTTATAAACACGATAAGACGTCAATTTTTCCAGTATGACTTTCCTGGTTTAAACTTACATACGAACAGAATTAAAACGGATTGTTGTATCCATAAACTAATTTAATTTTTAAAGCGTTGATTGTTTAACAAGATGCTTCAGTTACATTATCCCATTGGAGTACATAGTCTAATGCTTTCTATTTTAAAGAAATAAAATTGTATAATGCTAACTAACTTGTTAAAATTTCATTTGTACAGCTTTGTAAAGAAGCTGTGCAAATGAAATTTTAACAGCTTCTTTGCAAAGCTGCAGGTTAAGGCCCCACATAAAAATGTGAGGCCCTAAGCCACATAAATATGTGAAAGTCCTAATTATTTGGTGGAGGGCCCTTCCCTCCACCAACAAATCCTTCCATCCAAAAACAAATCCAATAATGGTGACGTATCTGGGGGAAGAAAACGGTGCGACCCCCTTTAAGTTAAATTAAACTTAATTATTAAAGAGATAAAGTTTTTACACGCTGTTTATATCATTGTATAAATTTAAAAATGCCTGTTTAAGATTTGTTCCCCCCGGATCCACTTTGTAAATATTGCTCCTATAAACTAGATACACGCTCTCATTTTATCTATATCAATTATGCACGTATATGAAAACAGTAATAGGTGATATTAAATAAACACAGCTGCAAGGTCTTATTATCACCTTGTACTTATTATTGTTGAGCTTTTTGCCATTCACTCCAATATGAGGTTATTGGCAGATTTTTGTAGTGAAACCAGAACAGATTTATAACAAAGATAAACCATTTTTTAAAATATATTTCTTACTAATGGCTGTGATACAATAACAACTTTTCTTTTTATAAATTTTTTGACATTTAATTATTTTCACTTTTTTTTCTTGTTAAATATTACAAATTTTATTCAAGATAAGAAGTTTACGGGGTTTTCTGATTTGTTATCGGTTAATGGAGAGGAAAATGCCATGGTTTTTTTCCATTTCGAAAGTGAACCACTGATGCTATTTTCATCACTTCCATGCTCTTGTGTACTGCGCCATTTTTGTGAAATATATTAAATAATTTTATTTTATATTATTTTAATGAATTTAAAATATTTTAAAGGCAATTTTAGTTCGGAAATATTTTTTTTTTTTTTTTTTTTGGTGAGGAGAAATGATTATTCGTGCTGAATAAATGTTACGATCTATTGAATGTGGTTGACTTTTATGAAAAATAAAGTCGATGTAAGCATTTTTCACGAAAAGTAATTGTACTTTTTCTTGGTGACGAGCAATGTACTTACTTGTCGTTATAAAAAAGTAATTAAAGGGATTTTTTGGCGAAAAGACGGCAATAAGAAGGAATAAAAACTGCAATTTTTTAAACGAGAAAGAATTGCATTCTGTGTTAATAATGCGTCTATTTTCACGAAAATTTTTATGAAAAATCATAAATTTCATAAAAATATCATAAAAATAGCTGAGCCATTTTTATATTACGAAAAGCTGTATGCGGTTTCCTAGGATGTACACGCCATCTAGTGTTGTTTGAACGAACTAGACATGGCAGACGGCCCGAGGCGAATGCTTAATATAGGACATATCCAAATGGGTCAACGACTGACAATGAACTCCCGAGGCTCGATCCTCGGGCTATTCTTCCCTAGGTCTACCAAGTACCGCCTCCTAACGTATCCTGAAAGGGGACTTTAACCTGACTAAGCCAACGTTGAGTAGACAGAATGGCAGAAATACACCGCCTCTTTTTTCCTACCACTTCTTCCTCGGACTTATCACGTCACATCGCTCTTCATCTCCAATCCCCGAGCCGATATCTTGGGGGAGGGACTAGACAATATGTACTTGTACGTCGATCTGGTATACCATGTAGGTCACTGTGGTTGACGGGCTATTTAAGCTGCACTTCCAACGTTAGACTCACACTTGTGCTTTGGCTTTTGTATTGAACACACACAGCCCTGTTTAGCGGGCTACAAGAGCGACTGTGTTTTAAATCTGAGCGGTAAGTAGATATTCATCTGCGGCCATCGTATTGGATTATAACGTCATCCAGGAAGTACCCGAGAATTTTTTTTAACTTAAATCTTATTACTTTCAGATCTGAATTGCTCGCTCTTCACTTTTTGAAATTTTTTTTTCCAACGAAAAAAAAAGATGCAACTCTTAGCATTCATATTAGGAGTTATTCTCGTGACGGAAATCCGATGCGGTTACATTCATCATAAACCCATCGTTCACGTCATTCACAAAGAAGTACCGATCTTCCATAAAGTTCCCATACCAAAGCCTATTCCTATACCAAAGTATGTACCAGTTCCGAAACCCGTGCATGTACCACATCACATACCGGTACCAGTGAAGGTTCCAGTGTACAAGACCATCCCGAAGATCATCAATGTACCTAAAGCAATACCGATACCCAAGATCATCGCTGTACCCAAGCCAGTACCAGTTGGAATACCAGTACCCGTTTTCAAACACGAGCCAGTACCTATCTACAAGCCTTATCCAGTACCCAAACACGTGCCGGTACCATACACGGTCAAGGTACCGAAATACGTGCCAGTGCCAATTCACAAGATTATCAAAGTGCCCAAACCCATCCACGTCCCAGTTAAGGTCCCAATCTACAAACACGTTATTGTAAAGAAACCAGTGGAAGTACCAGTTCCGTAAGTACTGTATTATTTATACTTTCATTTTTTAATCGTAAAATATCGCTTTTTTTTCGTAACTAAAAAGTACTAAAAATTCGGTAAATTTTCCCATAGAGTTTACATTAAGAAACATCATTTCGGTGGACACGGAGGTGGAGGATACGGCGGTGGAGGATTCGGACACGGAGGTGGAGGATTCGGACACGGAGGTGGACACGGATGGTGGTAAAATGTCACACGTACTGTACAACATAGATTCGAATATGGTTTTAATGGAACTGGAGGAGGAGCGGCGGAATCTGAATTCCATAACAAGAGCAACGCGTATAAAACAAAAAAAGTATATTTTTTAATGTTTTAATAGACATTTTAATGGATGGACGAGTAGCCGCCTCTTCTACCACAACGAAGTATGTACATAATTGTATTTCCTCCCGACTACCACGCTTACATATATGCCACTGATATCTAACAGTGTTTTAAAAAAAATGGGGTAGATTGAGTGGCAATGTTGTATCATAGCTACCAGGTATGTGGGCAGACTTCTTATTGTATTTTTATTTTCTAAAACCTGCTGAATGTACAAAGCTCTTTTCATAAAACTGGAGATGTAATTTTATAAATGTGTACATGTGGATACAAGCAATAAAAGCCCCTGAAAAGCAGTTGTTGATTTTTAATTAGTAAAGAAAATTTTCCAATGTCAAAATTATTCATCAAATGGACGGATAAGTAAAGAGGACATATTTTCGGGGATCCTCTTGTCATACCAGTTATAGACTAGGTCGTCAGTTCACACGAATACCTAGCCTTGTATACAGTTCAATCGTTCTTTTTTTACTTCCGCATCGTCAGATATCCCAGTTCAAAGTGTTCCACTTTAGAATCTGTCTGATGATTTTTCTATATTTTATCAATTATCATTTATAAAATTTAAATTAAAAAAAAATATCGCTAATTATAATACATACAATTTTTTTAAAATTTAATTTAAATAACTCGAATTACACTCAAATTAAATATATCAAAAACACAAAATTTATATTAAAATAATTTTTAAAAATTAATAAATTAATTAAGGCTTATAAAAAACAATAATTTACGTTTCAATGCGCAAAAATTAAAAAAAGTCTGTTTATAAAACAATCGCGCCATCTGTTGAGCACGTTTTAAAACAATTTTCAAATATTAAATTTTATTTATTACAAAACCCGTTGACTAATTAAAATATGACGAAACGTATTTTATAAAAATTTACGACTTATAATTTGCAATAAATCTCGTAACGAATGCGAATTTTGTTTTTTTTTTTCCTTTTTAAATTGAAGTTTTTCAATGCTATTTATAGATATTTTATTATTATTATTTATTAATAAAGGAGTGGACGTTTCTCACCATTTTAATGTATTTGTTACGTATAATTAGCGGTGTCATAAACTTCAAATAAAGAATCCGAAAACGAACAAAGATGTTCAGTATGTCTGGTCATCCATATTAGCGTGACAATTATTATTTTTAATTGTTGTTACTCATGCAAAACTCATACCACCTCAGTTATTTTCCTGTCTACAGATCTTTTTGTTTCCTTTTTTTTATTTTTGAGATTATTCAGGTGGGGGATAGATAACCTTTTTACCTGAACGATCTTTTCGTCAGGTGACGAAAATAAAAAGTGACAAAATCCCATCTGTTGCATAAACTCTTTTTTTTTTTTAAATTAGTTACGCGGAAATATACGAATTATAGGCAATTTTTAATTGATATTTTTTAGCTTTATATATAATAAAAGAGGTGGTTTATATATACAATTATTTACTAATACTATAGTAGTATCAATTCATTGTAGTAATTATAATTGGAGTTAATGACCCCAAAACTTTTCTTCTCGAATTGTAAATGATCTAATTTATAATTAATTAATATTTTAAAAAAATTATTGAGATATATTTCAAGAGATATTTAATCAAATATTCTTATGACACCGTTATAGATCCGTACACGTGTTCTACAATTTGTACTCTCTTAAACTCTCTCAGGGGCCGTTTTTTAATCACGTATGCAGTTTAGAGGGAAGGAGAGTCTGAAAAAGTACGTCATTGTACACGAAGGGGAGAGGGCTGGTGCATTACCTGGATTTTTTTAAGGTATTAGAGGCATTTCTTCTGTAAAAACTATCAGAAAACATTTTCAAAGCTTTTTAAAACTATAGTACACGCGTAATTAAAGGGGAGGGCTATCAAAAGTATATCGTTGTACACTACAGGGAGGAGGGGCTCAGAAGTGGCTCAAAAACTGTACACGTAATTAATTAATGGATATCCCCATTAAATTAAAAAAAAGCTTATAAAAATTTTATGTAGCCTATATGATACAGATTATCTATAGATAAAGTACGTATTGTACACATACACGTGTATATATGTACAATTCACTTACATATTTTATATGAAAAATTATATATTTTAAAATATATTATATACATTCCGTTTATTACTGTAATAGTTTGAAACAGTTATTTTTTTATATTTTAGTTATACTAATATGAGTTTCATACTATTATAATAATAAATAGAACTTAAATTGTTAATTTTACTTAAAATAATTTTAAAATATCTTATCCATATACAATTATTATTAAAAATTAAATATAATTTTAAATATTTTAATGGTAAACAGTTTCTAACAGCGTAACAAGAAATGCCTCGTGTTCTGTTCCTATGTCCCATTTAAACGTGTCTAGACGATCCATCTACTCTACAAGATTTACTTTTAATTGATTTTAATCATTTTAAATATAATATTTAATAATAATTTTAAATTTACATTTGTATCTATTTTTAATGCGGTTTTTGAATTTCATTACAATAGGGAGGGGGCATCAATCCCTCATCTTTTATGACATCACAATTGATGTACCGTACTTATCCTTATTTATACATAATATAGCCTATATACATAACTGTATTAGTAAAGATTGAAGTGAAACCAAAGAATATGATAAAATAATAGTTCTATATTTATTTTTCCTCATATTTTCCTTAATAATTTCGTGTTTTCGGCACACGAAACCAAAAATGTTCATTTTACAAGCCGAAGTGATATGACATAAATTTTATTTTATTTTATTTTAATTTTTGTTTGTTTGTTTGTTTTTTCTTTATTTGGCTGAGTAGAATCATGATCCGGTTTTGTTATGTAAGGCTCGAAACTGTTTGTTTACCTGTTCATAGATGTTTCTTATGTATACGTAAGTAACGATGTTCTAGTTAGATTATTTTTAAATTCTAGAAAATTTCGAGATGAAGAATTTTGCTGGAGATTTTTTTCGTCTTTTTTAATATTTTTTTCGTGTTTTATAGATTTAATAATGTTGAATTTTATAATTAATTTAAATAATTGGCAAAAGATGTGTGGTTACAGTTCAACAGAAATATGGGTTAGTAGGTATTGATTAAAATTGAAGGGCATATGAAAACATACTTTAAAAATGTGATGAAAACTATTCTGGAAGAGGGTTTCCAATTTTTTCTCTTGATATTTCTCATCAATACACCTTTTTCTACATTAAAAAAAGAAAAAAACAATCAAATTTTAATTGTCTATAACGCTTATAAATAAACATAATCTTATAAAAAATTAATTTAAAATAATTAATTGAATTCTTATTAAAATGATATTATTTCTTTAGCTTAATGATAAAAATAATATATAAATTTCTATTTATTGTATTATCTCAAAGAATTAGTGTGGAATTTAATTAAAAAGAATGCACCCCTGCAACTGAATAGTATTAAAAATTAATAAAAATTTTTAAAAATAATAAAAATCACACTAATTAAAATTGAGTTTTATATAAATTAAATGTATTTTTAATATTTTATAAGAAATTGATACCGATTATTAAAAAAATGGACCTAAATACGAAGCGCTGAACTATATTGATCGACGTATCCATTAACAACTTATGAGGTTCATTCATATAATTTTTTAGAACTACGAGTCATTGATTCACATGCTTAATAAATTAGCCATTTAAAATGAATAATTTTGTGGATCAACAAGGTTTTTATATATATAATTAAGCTTCATAATATAATAATAAATTAAATTTTAGAAACAAAAAATAATAAAAATTCCAACAAATATATAACAAACAGTTTGAAAAGAAAAGCAAAAAGAAGTCTACAGCATGAAATGCTCAATTTCTGACCTTTACGGTCAAGCAGGAGGGATGCAGTTTGATTTACCTGACCGAGAGATCAACCACGTGAACGAAAGAACATTGTGTATTTTACACAATAGGTTGTATATGTCAAATTTCAAAATGAATAATTTGTGGAGAATTGTTTAACTTCATTCTCTTGTACAAATTGTTTGAAGATATCAAGGTCAAAATATAATTTTCATCAATTTTATAAATAAATTACAAAGATTTTTTTACTAAAAATCTGTATTGTTTACTTCTATCTTTTTAAAAATGGGAGAAATTACGTTTCGATTTAAATGTACACTGGCAATTTTAGGCATATTTTAGGCAACGTAGGCTATGTCTAATGGTCTCTTTGCGCCTTTATAAATCTCAGACACGCTTATCTAGATTCTAAATAATATCAGGCATCGTGTGGTGTGGGATTTACATTGTATATATTTATATAGAAAGCTCCCCTTGCTTAAAGCACACTCGAAAACCTCCTCTAATATATAAGAAAACTTTAATTAATTTAATTTAATCTTATAGGACACTCGTCGATTTAGATTTGTGTAATTTGCTGTTTCCTTTGTTATAAACATGCTCGAGAAGCATAAGAGGTTTCCTGAAAGTTGTAAATTGTAAATGCCAATAGAATTGGGTAATAAATAAAGTTATGCACTTGTAGTATTTTGTACAACCTACTTATGGTTATTGCTATAAAAGTTCACAAATGATGGACAGGTGGGAAAAAATACAGTCGTGTGTTAATACCGGCGATATGGCTGGAAATGAGAACAATGCCCCAAGGCCCCTTCTGAACTCTCAAAATACAAAGTGTAAATATTACGCCGAGTGATTTTGGGTACTGTTACTGAATTAAAATTTTTATTTTTTATAAAAATTTTCTCGTGTAGTTAATTAGTAGAGACTTAAGAAGACAAAACAAGTAAGACAATTAACTTAAAAAAATCAACACAGGATTTACATTAATAGGTTTTTCTAATAGTTCTCATGAAACACTGCCCAGTTTATGACGTAATAAACCTAAATGCATTGTCTAAAAACATCTGCAATTTATTTATAGAGAGAGAAAGAGAAAGAAGGTGAATGAGAAAGAATGAAATAAGATAGTAGCTGAAATAATCCCCCATGTGGTGTGAGTGCTGCGCGAGGCCCTATCAAGGAGCAAGGCCAGATCCCATTATAAGAGGGCAGATTTTTAAATTGTTTCTCCTCGTTCTGAATCGAGAAGCGTTCTGTTTACGTGTGTAGTAGAGGAAACGAAGGAGGTGTTACGTATGAAACGCAGGAAAAACACTCGATGACGAAATAAAAGGGAAGAAATCGACAATAGAAAAATTGATGCGAAGCGTTAAATGGGGAGAAATATACGCCAAGCATTGAAAGGAGGAAAGAAATAAGAAGTTTTTAAGAAAGAAAAAATAAGCACAAAACATGAAAACATTCTTTAACTTGCAAGAAAACACACGAAGAATNACATACGAGAATTTGAAGCAAAGCAAACTGAATGAATCAACAGATTGCAAAGTGATTAGGTGGTAAGAGAATTCAAGTAGAGAAATTGATAAAGTATTAAATTACAAGTACTCCAATTAAAATCAAAAGTTGTAAATATTTTTTAATTCTAATCCAAAATAAAGATTTAATTAACCAATAAGTAGAGTATAGCTAAATATCAAACTTATCAAGTAGATAAAATGGATGATGATGATGATGATGATGATAATGATGATGATGATGATATATTTCCAAAATTTTGAAGGAAATATTCTATCCCGATGACCTTGAATCCAATGAAACTAGACCAAGTTGACGATTGGTTCACTAATACCCAACTCGTCCCTAAGGTGCATTGCTGGGGCATATTGTGTGTACGGATTGACCCTCTTTTTTAATTTCCTGTAATTATTCAGGACGAAAAACTTGGAAACAAAGAAAATCTTCTCTTCGTGTTATTATTTTAGAAAAAAAAAATTTCTCCTTAATTTCATTCGTTTGCACCTTACGTGAGAAATAATACTTAATTTTACTCTCCTTTTTTTTATAATCTTGTAAATCTTTTTACACTTTTTCCGCTTAACCAACTTTAAACAAAAATTTTCTTTTAAATAATTTTTTAGCTTATTTTTTTACGTATAAATTTATTACTTGGTGGTCCAAAAATCAGTTAACAAATGTAAGGACTAAATTGCTGTATTATTGGAGTTAATTAATTACAGACTTTATAAAAACTGTTCCTTCCTATTCAATATACAATTTACAGCGATTTAACAAATTAAATTAACTTTTTAAAACAAGTTTTAACAATTTGTTTGAGCGATTAACTGACTTTTAGTGTCACTCTGTGTAGGCCTACAGCTCATAAAGTTTATTATTTTGCGCGATTTTTTCGCAAAAATTAAGCTGGTGTAACGATTTTAGTAACGTTTTAGTGTTAATGCTCATAACAATATTCGTTTCGTTCATAATAACAATTGCGTCATTTATGAGTAGACATGCTCATAAATGACGTAATTAAAATTCAATTTTGAGACGAAACAAAATCTAATTTCATCCAAATTTTGCCATAAAAATGATTTAGTGTGACATTGACTCATGTAAACACCACTTGTCATATATAAATACCATATAGTTAGCCCATTTAAATGTATTTTGGATCGCATGCATACGAACAACAGCATATTTATTTCTATAGATGATCCGTTTAATCTCCCAATATCTGCTCCAATTAATTCGAGGTAAATAAAATATTTCTAGGATAAAACAAATCATAGAAATTGAACAAGAAAGTGGATCGATTTTTAAGTAAAAATATTTATTTGTGTATTATACACTTATGATATAGGTCAAGTCTATTGCTAGGACGTTTTTACTTCGTCAGAAAAGGAAATTTTTTCGGATATTTGGACCGAATAACGGAACGTCGATCAATTTTTCACGTAAATATTTATGCCGATATTTAAATTTTGATTTATTTAAACTTCCCTTTTCCGAGAAAAATAAATAAAAAAAAGAAGAAGAAGAATGAAAACCCAAAGCGAAACGTAGACTCATTCACGAGTTCATCAACCTTTTAAAGATAAGAGGCTCGGTTCCAAGTATGGGTAGGTCTGATGACATCATTTTATAGAAAGTCCGGCTAGGTCAATGGGTTAAGTAATTCATAAGGAAGGCCCTAAATTCCCCAATTCGCAATTATCATTAAAATTTTACAAAAATTTTCGTCTCCTCCGCCTGTATAATGTTAACTAGTTTCTGCTGCTGAAAATAGATATTCAGTGCATAAAATTACTCATTTCCAGATACTGAAATAAGATAACAGCGTTATATCGAATTTTATGAATATTTGAATTGTTAATTAATTAATTTTTTCTATAAAATACTCTCATCTTTAGCGTACACAATTGTTTTTTAGAGGGGAATTCCAAAATTAAATAAATTCCATTTAAAATTACAGGGTATATTTCTGTTATGAATAATTATATATTTAAATGATCCAATATTCCAATTATATTATACAGTCAAACCTGCGAACAACGGCCACTAAAGTGAAAATGGCCGTTGTTTAGAGATTATTTTATAGACTATATCTTTTTGTTTTAAAAAAGTTTATGGAAAAATGATCACTGTTTACAGGTGGCCGTTGTTGGGAGGTGGCCTTTATTGCAGGTTCGACTGTATTACAAGAAAAAAAAGCTGAATCCATTAATAAATCTTCAATTTAAAGCAATATTTTTAAAGATTTCTTTTTTAAATAAAAATATATGCGCTTTTCCCAATAACAATAGGTTTTCTTTTTTTTAAAAGTAATTTTTAAAAGAAAAAATAATAAAAGTAATACAAAAATTGTGTTAAAAATCCACTAAATATAGAAGACACGAAACAAATCAGTGGTATTCCCACCAGGATGTAAAATTTTCCACACATTATATAATCTCAAAACATAAAACCGACAATACATCCTTGTATACGACCTCCTTAGTCGAAGGAGGAGTCACATATTGAAATACCATTCTTTAAAAATAATCTCGGGAAAACCTTACAAGAAGATAAGAAGAATCGAAAATCGACTTTCAATTTAAAAATAGGGAGAGAATAAATTATTTTCTAAGTATTTTATAACGGTCCAAGACCTCTTGAACCTGTAGTTGAAACCTAATAGTCCAATACTATTTATAGTAACCATTATTGAACACATACAAAGTGATTTTTATCTGGTTGTCTGATAAGATTGCACTTTTAGATAAATTACAACAGTTCAATTGACTTTTAACTTCCTGTTGTAAAAGGGAGTAAACAAACGTATTCCCTTCTTACAATGCAATAATTAATTTTTCCATTTTAATTCAAAAAATTCCCATGCCTCTGCCAAGATTTTCAGATGATAAGCTGAAGTTTTTACCATTAAAAATATGAATATAGAAATTTTATAAATGAAATTATTATTATTATTTTATAATAAGAAATAATTTAAATTAATTTTAAAGAGCAATTTTACAAATTCAATTTCTTTGTGTATATAGGCCTATATTAATATATATCAAAGCTTAGCCTACATCCAAAAGGGATTTTCAATACAATGTTGTATTTCTTTTTCTTTTCCATCCATCACCAGTATTTGGGCCACATCCGGTAAATCATCTGGGTTATCTGCCATCGGACTACGCATGCTCATCATCACGTAATCACATGATTACCGCTATCTTTTTGTATTTGCGTAGAAGCAAGACCTTAACCTTCAATGCCTGCAGCGAAGAGATCCCTAAGGGGAAGAACGGGAGGAAAAATAGGGCAACCTGTTTGATAAAATGTAGAACAACCATTCAGGACAGAGGAGGAGGGATGGGCCAGTATATAAACAAAGCTGACCCAGTGATTATAATTCTCTCAGGCGAATAAACATAGCAAGCGTATACTAGGTGCTCTTCGTCAGTTTAAGTTAAAAGGCCAAGAGGCCTTCTCTATCCTGCACTGGTGTAGTTGCGGCAGTTCAAGGTAAGTCTACGATTTAATAAAAAAATAAATAAAAAAAAGAAAAGATAGTACATAAAATAACAGTTAAGTCCGTTAAACCTACCTGTTTTTATATTTCTGTTGTGTCAAACCATGCATTCGGTCACATAACCTCTGCAGAGATGCGGAGTTAGTGAAGCAAAATGATTGCTTCTACATTGCATGACTGTGACCTTCTATTATACTAAACTTAGTCTGTCAAGATTCAGTTTGGAGAAGGCTAAGCGTTTTATAGCATCTAAACTCGTACGTAATATAGGTATGTAAGTAATCCTTAAATTTTAAATGGTAAATTAAGCAATAAAACTTAACTATGTTTAATTTACAATTATAATTAAAATAGTAAACAAGACGGATATTTAATATATTTTACGCTTAATTACTCTTATTGTCTTTCAGTTATTCATTCAACCATGTTGACTGCATCGACTTTAACGCTGCTAACGTTTATATTTTTTGCGCTCGACCCCACGCATGGTGGACATTATGGTGGTTACGGTGGAGGTGGAGAATCCTATAAAAGTTACGGCTATGGAGGATCTCATAAAAGTTTCGACTTTGGAGGATCCCATAAAAGTTTCGGCTATGGAGGATCCCATAAAAGTTACGGCTATCCTATAAAGACTATAGTGAAGCACATTCCCAAACACATTCCCATACATAAACATATTCCTGCCCCAATACCGGTACCGGTACCGAAACACGTTAGTTTTTTAAAACCTTTGCATTTAGCAAAATTTATACCTGTACCACATGTAATACCGGTGATCAAACATTTTCACAAACCTGTACCTGTTCTAAAATCGATACCCATACCACACACTATACCAATACCTAAATTAGTAGCACTTCCCATAAAGATCAAGATACCCAAACCTGTAGTAGTACCAGTTGCTAAACCTTATCCCATTCCCAAACACGTGCCTATACCGGTACCGATACACATACCGAAGCCGTATATCGTGCCCATCTACAAGACTGTGCCTGTTCCCGTGCCAAAAAAGATACCCAAGCTCATCAAAATCATCAAGGAGATTCCAGAAATCATCAAAAAGCCAGTTCCAGTTTTGTAAGTAATTTTTTTATTTTTCCTTGTTTTTAAAATCGTTAAACCACGTGTCGAATTAATGACGTGGAACGTATCGACACGTTATTTGTTCACTTAAGCCTAAATTCTTACACGAATCGATTTTAACAGCATCGACGATGCTCATGATGGATACCATGGAGGCAAAGGAAAAGGAGGAGGAGGAGGAGGAGGAGGAGGAGGAGGCGGAGGCGGAGGGTATGGTCTTGACAAACATGGTGGTGGCTATTAGGACAACATGCATCATGAAAATTTGGAATGAAGCATGATTTAAATACGATTTAGTTACTAAAATATTCCTAATAAAACTCGGAAACTTTCTTTCGGTTTATGGTAAGTTCTTTGCTTCATCTTTATCTGTGTAGGTTCCATGTAGGTGGGGAAGCCGATATCCTTCTGACCTTCGGAAAGCACTCTTAATTTTGGAAAGCATGCTTCTTTCAAGGATCCTCATACCAAAGCACCTTTATTCATTATTTTTTTTCTAGTAGCAACTGTAGTTCTTTTCTAGTTCCAGCATTAAGTTGCCTTCTTCACTATGCACATGACACACTTTATTAACCAAGTCAACGGTTTTCCTTATTTGTTTCGGCCGAAACTGGTTGTATTTTATGTACGTGAATCGTTTAAAAGAAGGACAATAATCTTAATTTATTTTTTTTCAAGTGACTTTTAAAATATTATTATAAATTTGTGCTTTTATTTGTCACTCAGGGCAATCTGTCTATTGTATCACTTTCCAAGAAAAGCACAAAGTTCTGTAGATGTATAAGCATAATTCATATTTATATTTTGTCAATATTTATGTTAACAGTATTTTTTTCATATATATCTAAGTAATAAATATACATTATACCGTTCACTACATTTTTACTGACTTATTGGAGATTGTTTTAAAATGCAATAATATTTTTTTTCATGTGCCGCTGTATGCACTAAATTATGTAAATAAAAATTGTCATATTATTATGCAATTATGTTTTATGTTAAATTTTATTTTAACGGACACAATTATAAATGAAAAGAATATAAAACCACGCGCAATTTATCCTTAATTAAATAAAAAAAAACGATTTTCTATTAAAAATTTCAGGGCGTAACGAATATTTCTCTCATATTTAGTCAAAGTCAAGAAAACGGTTCGATTTAATTAAAAATGTTATTCATTTTTATGCAGAATATAAAATTTCTTTAATATTTAAGATCCTAAAAAACAAATGGAATTCTCCAGATCGTTACTTTCGCATTAAACATTCCAATAACACGCATCCTGTACTGTTATACAATGCGTTTCTATGAAGTTGTTAACACGGATCTTGGCGTGTCAAGAGAAGGAACTTAATGGCGTTTGGAACAAGCGTGTTAAGAATTCTTTAATAGAGTGGAAACCAAAAAAAGAATTAGAAAAAAAAAATAATCCTGTAGTACACTCGACAATTTTTTAAAACGTTTATTTTACCTATCGTATGTCTTCTAGTATCCATACTTGGGGAAAGTAAGAACGATAATGTCACTTTCTTCGTTCATAAAGTAAAGAACTGCCTTTTAAACCTGAAAATATCTCAGTAATATAATTTTTATGGGCATTCCAGATATTTTATTAATTTTTTTACAAAATGGAAACAAAAGAGATAAAGACTTTGTTTTTGTTCTTTCATTTGTCAAATTAGGACAAATCAATTACTTAATTGGATTGTATTGTAGTTCGATTGCTTCTAGAGGATCATTATTTGACCTAGACACAACTAAATTGTCCTTTCGAAATTAAAATTACCGTACGTGGATGATTTCTTTTTCTTATTGTTTAAATATATTCAATTAAAGAAGACATTATTTAAAATTGGAGGAGTTTTGGTTAAGAAGTTCGTGCATAATTTTCTTACTTAACAACAGTTTGCCAGGAAAACAATCGGGAAAAAATTCACATGTTGATATTCAAAAAAGTGGGTTAGGTTCATGTTGATTTAACCACTCAAACAACTGACAAGCTTCAAATTTACCAAAATCCAGAATGGGTTAGGTCAAGCGCAAAATTTGATTTAGAAAAACAAGAAAGAAAAAATAGAAATACGTGAATTGTATGCAATAATATTTCAAGTCTGCATCATCGGTCTTTTTAATTTGTACCCACTGACGTCAAAACACGTTATTACATAAGAAAAATCTCAAAAAATAATGAACATATGTGACAACCATGATTTATGCACTTAATATCTTCTACGGTTACATGCACCTCGACGACGATGATGGATTTACGACAATAAATTTGCGATTATGGAAAATATAGAATGTAGTTCAAATAAAAAAAATCTGGGTTTCCGTTTATCTGCAGGCTGTCGAAGGGAGTTGTCTGTCTGTCGGTCCTCAGGCTGATATCAGTACGGAAGTCGTTTTGATGTAAAAATGATGTCACGGCACAATTTTTGAAGGTGATGAGATGCTAAGAATGCATTAAATATGAGAGTAATATAGATACATTTATTACACCCAGCAGAAAGTCTACAAGGGCAGTAAACTAGCCAATGCAATGAGCTACGTGAAGTCACACTTCACTTGCAATTCTATTTATAGCAACATACGAGAATTTGAAGCAAAGCAAACTGAATGAATCAACAGATTGCAAAGTGATTAGGTGTGGTTCGTTTACTTAATCCTTGAACATGCGAACTTGAAATTAAAACCAATGGTGCTTCTGACCTAATTTGAGACATGTCATTAAGGATTTGTTAGTAATATTCAATTCATTACAGCTTGAAAATGTTCTTTGCTATTGACGCTTGAATGATATTTGTTCGTTATTAAAGATTTAAATTATCGATAGGTCAGTTGCGATGTCTTTGATCCGGAACATTTAATCCATCCGGGTGCATTTTCACAGAACTAATGCCAAACTTAAATATGCTTGAACGTGGACAGACCAGAAGTAATATCTTTCTATGCTCCGTAACTTTACACTGCTTTTGGAGCAAAATTAAGGAAAATTTTTGAAGTCACGTTTTAGCATAAGACCCGTCACGACTTAAATTCATGAAGGAAAAATATAAGAATTCAACATTACGAATATGAGGATTTTAACTATATATACATGTAATTTTTTTTTTATAAAACATAAAATAGAATGTCGGAAGGCCGGGCACATTAGGTCAGAATTTTTATAGTACGCGTTCTAGTTCAGTAGCTGATTTGATTTTGACCCCTTTAGATGTTTTATGAAGAATTTTGATTATATCTTTAATATTTATGATTCTGATAATTATATTTTTTTTTGTTTTTTCCTAATAGTAAAATACGTAAGATGTATAACGTATACGTAAATACATTGTATGCAGTTTCCGTATTCAGTATGATGGTGCTAGATAATTTCAAATTTTGATCATTTCTCAGCGTGTCAAACAATATCGAATGCTCCAGTTAACAAGAAAATAATCTATTTAATTTATATAACAAAACTTGAAGGACAAGTTTGTGCTTTCAACAACTATTCTACCATAAAATTTCTATCAATCATATAAAAAGTTATGAGGAAATTTGGCGCTTTACAGTATGATATATAGAATTTTGTAACAAATATAAATCTAAAGATAGAAAATTATCATTTGTCACGAAAAATTGTTTCAAAGGCTAAATGAAATAACATATTTACAACCATTATTGAAGAACCATTACATTATAAGAGATACACACAAAAAAAAATTAATATTTTTTTGTATGTTAGTCAACTTAAAATATCTGTACATCCTCAAATAAAGTTCAGTTTATATATATTATACTAAGCATGATTTCTTCAGTAACCTTGACCTTATTAAACAGGAAGTTAATATTTGAAGATTCAAGAAAGTAAAATTTTTTGATTTTCAGATATGTAATATACGTTAAAAATGATATCAATAATTTATAACAACTATTTTCACTAATTTAATTAATTTTTTTCAAGCAAAGAAGAAAAAAGATACAGCTTTGTTTATTGCAGCAGATATAAAGTTAACAGCTAAACAAATGTAGATCAAGTTTTTTTTAAATAATTTTATTATTTTTTTTATTTACTATTATAATTTATGGTTTTTCTAGCTCATATTTTAAATTTAAAGAATGGAATAATTTAAGTTTTACTTTCTAAAAATCTTAATTAACAAAAAACTGTATTATGCTCATTAAATAATACTAAATAAAATAAATCTTCAACAAAAACTACTGTTAAGCACTATTTATTAAGATGACTCTAGACTTTATATGTTTATTATATATAAAATACTGTTGTTAAACATGATTAATTTATAATAAAATCATGTTTACATAAATATAACATACAGTCAATTTTTTAAAAACAACAAATACTGATGAAAACAAAAAAATGGTCATTGTTTGGAGATTATTTTGTAAGCATTTCAAAAAGAAATGTTGCTAAAAAATGATGCCCATTTTTTGGAATGCATATCACTTTTAAATGGTGGCAGCTATTGGAGGGTAAACTGTATATATTTGTTTCATAAAGATTTTTAAACATCCCATATTTAATAATTGCACTTTAATGTTTCAGATATAATTTAAAATTATTTCAGAACCAGCAATTATTTATTGACGACATCACAATGCTGGGCTGCAATTTTTAATTACATTTTAAATTTATTTTGTTTAAAATATATGCTCTCCATCTTAAAATTAGTAGTGGCTTACCCCTGTACAGTACATCATACTTTTTCTTTAACAATAGAGTCATGCTGGTCATCTATCTAACAATTTAGGAAAAAATTTTTAAATTGAAATAACACAACGTCAGATTTGCATTGGAAATTTATATATAGTTTAATTGGAGCCTCCTCCCCTAAACTTTTCATATCTAGTCTTGTCTTTCAACTATATAACTCAGTTTTTGAAATTAAGGAAAGACAGACAGACATACAGACAACAGTGGGAATTTATAGGTCTACAATTTTTCAAATTGAAGCCCAACATTTAGTAGATGTCTCTTGCAGAATGAAAGTTTACTGAAGTATTGAATTAATGGACATACCACAATAACTGTTTCACAAATTTATTCTTAAAGTTCCAAATAATATATATAATCCAAGCTTTCATAGTGTATGTGTAGATTTTACTAAAATTTATATACGTGTATATTATTAATTTATCAATTTAAGATATAAATGTTAAAATAATTAAAATGTTTCAATTTTTTAAATTAAAACAAACATTTGTATAATAAAAAAAAACTTTAATTTATTACAAATAACTTTATACAATTACACTCACTCAATTATTCTAAAGTTTAGAATAAATTGAGACTAGATTATCTTTACTCGGAGAAAGTGCATTATAAGTACAGCTTGAGCAGCATATTAGATTATTAAAATAATCAAAATGTCAATGTACATAAAATGTATATACTATGCTAAATTCCATTTTGTTCAATAATTAAATTTGAAGCTGCATTATTTCATTAAAACTACATGATAATTAAAATGGTATAAATATACAAAAGTTTCATAAAAATATTATAAATGTGTTCGTATATCTACATTATAGTACAGAAACATTTGAATTCATTTTACTAAATGCCCACCCAATCACTGTGGTTTAGTTCAACGTGTAGTCCACAAATTGACACTGACAACGATGGTGAGATTGCACATTAGTCATTAAATCTTGACTCAACTTACATTGACTTATAACAAAATGACAATTAAAAGTATTTTCTTGTTAATTAAACTTTCAAGGTTTTCAATTGTAGCTCTTTTTCTTTCTGTAAAAAAAAGTTAATTGTATAACAGGCATGTCTAGTATTGTTATCATAACATAAATCAAACTAGAAAAAATAGGACATTTACTTATAGTTTATATAGTTATTACATTTATTAACCTATTTAAAGATTAGTAAATATGGTATATTGTTATATTGTTTTATAAACAATACTACATTAACTATTCATAATGTACAAGCATATTAAAATATATTTTATACTTTAGCTTATAAGTATAAAATAGTAATTTTTGTATTAAGTCATTTTTAAAATAACATTAAATTAATTTTGTTTTTACATTGTTGAATTGTTCAAAAGTTGCTCTATTTTAAATACAGTGTCAAAACAGTTTCATTGTATTGTATAAGCTAATTTCCAAGTTTTTATATTTTATATCAACAGATAAAGAATTAACTTTAAAACTTTAATTACATAATATGATTGATACAATAAAAAAAAACCAACAAAGCTGCAAGATAGAACAAATAAAAAGTTTACTTTTGATTTAAATTTATTTCTGATACAAATTTTTCTATATGATTCAAGATTTAGGAATCATTTATGAAATTTTCTAATCATCATTTAAAAAAAGTATACCAGAAATTATGTATAAACATTCCATTCATTTAAAGGAATTCATTTAAAGTTGAGTAATATATTATCGAAAATTAAATTTACCAAATATTAGTTACCATTATTAATATATAGTTAACAGCTATAAGATTTGAATTAAAATTTATTTTACATTTGAATAAAGCGTTAATGTTAAATATTCTATATAATGATATAAAAACAAATGTTTTATTATTAAACACTTGAAAAAATTTAGGTAATCTGAATTTTATTAGAAAAAATTAGGTTTTATTTAAAATTCATAAAAGCACAAATAATTTTTACCTTTTTCATTGTGTTTCTCATTTCATCAACTACAGATTCATATATTGGTTCTTCTTCCTTATCAAAATGTGTTAGAGGCATTGTTGCATAAGGTGACAGTTTATATGGTGGATCACGATGAGAACTCAACATATGTGCTGCTCTGGGAAGCATTGTAGGCGTATAGTGAAAAACATCTTTTGAACAAGCTAAATAAAAATAAGAAGTTAAATAAAAAGGGAGAAGAAAAAAGTTACTTAAACATATATGTTAAAAATCCTTACGCATATATGGAGCTGGAACAGCAACAGGTGTCCTTTTTGAATACACATACAAACAAGCAACAGCAATTACTATAACTATCACGACAATAGCAGAACAGACAGGAATAATTATATATAAAAGTTTTGTTACTTCTTCATCTTGTTTGTTATCTGTATCTTTATTATGAATTGTTTGAATTCCTGGAAAAAAATTATTCTTAAATACACTACTAAAAATCAATAAAAATTTATGTATGTTAAGCAGTATCTTTGTATTTTGATGTCAGTAAATATTTATTCAATAAACTGGAACTTATATTTGTAGTGCTAATGAATAAATAATTTATATTTGTCAGGATAAAAAGACTTTCAAAATTTAATACGATTATTATTAATTATATAACTTAGTTTTAAATAAGTTTCAAGATGATACTTTGAAATATTAATCTATCAAAAGAATAATTTTGTAAAATAAAAAGTCTATTAAAATATAATTAACGAGCTAACAGAAGCAAGTACTTGTTCTTTATTTCAACTCTAAAAATTTATGTATTTATTTTGATATCAACCTTTCTGTATTTAAAAAACTGCTTCAATAAATTAGCAATGCATCTATTAATTAAGATTTTGCAGTATTTATTTATTTATTATTGAATTTTATTTTTAAGTATACAGAAATTTATTGCAAAACCCCTTAAGGATTAAAAATAAAAGAACTGAACCAGTTTCTAAGTTAGAGTTACTGTCAAAGCATAAATAACAATTTCTTTTAAATTAAAAAGTAATAATAATAGCTAATGCTGATTATAAAAATTTACATACCCACTCCAGTTGTTCTAACACTTGCAATCTCACTAGGTTCACTGTTTCCAAAATCACTGTTAGCAACAATAAATAAGTGATAAAGTTGGTCACTCTCAAGATCTATCAGAGAGAATTTCCTTTGATTGCTTATAGGGATGGATATTTCTTTCCATTGATGACCTTCTTTTCGATAACTAATTGTAAATCCTAAACAAATATTATTTTGAATTATGAAATTAATTTCTTTTATTAATATTGATAGAATTTGTGTCTATTTATTCAAAATTATTTCTTGATATTTTGTATAACAATGATATTTCATTATACAATATAAATTAACAAGTATTTAAATATATTACCTATATTACCTTAATATTAATAACCTTAAAATTATTAAACAAAGAGCTAGAAACTTGAAAGATACTGAACCACATTTCAACACGATACTGTTATCTTTTCACATATACAAATAATCACATCATCATTAAATGAGCAGTACAGAATTTATATAACCTAAAGATTAATATAAGCAATAGTCTAGTCTTTCCTATATATATTTTATAAAACAATAAAAAATAATTAAATAATTCCATAAAATCCTTACTTTACAGAAGATAATTTCATAAGATCTTTTTATACAGGATTACAAGCAAATATTATATAATCTAGCTTAAATTATATTCGAACCAGAACATTCATTATTGCTAATTTTGTTTGTAGTTAAAAAAAAACTATCAATTTTTTAATGATAGAGCATTTTAACTGTAATGTTCTAAAGACAAATATTTATTAATAGTCAAAAACTTTATTTTTTAAAACAGATTTATATTTTCTTCCATAAAGCTATCTGTGCAATTGTTTTTAATATAAAGGCATTCTGAATAATAATTATGTAATTGTTATTAGATACCAGTTTAAAAATAAAGGCTTTTATTTTAAAATTGTCATATTATTATGCAATTATGTTTTATGTTAAATTTTATTTTAACGGACACAATTATAAATGAAAAGAATATAAAACCACGCGCAATTTATCCTTAATTAAATAAAAAAAAAAAACGATTTTCTATTAAAAATTTCAGGGCGTAACGAATATTTCTCTCATATTTAGTCAAAAGTCAAGAAACTTTATAGTAACTTTCGCATTGAAACGGTTCGATTTAATTAAAAATGTTATTCATTTTTATGCAGAATATAAAATTTCTTTAATATTTAAGATCCTAAAAAACAAATGGAATTCTCCAGATCGTTACTTTCGCATTAAACATTCCAATAACACGCATCCTGTACTGTTATACAATGCGTTTCTATGAAGTTGTTAACACGGATCTTGGCGTGTCAAGAGAAGGAACTTAATGGCGTTTGGAACAAGCGTGTTAAGAATTCTTTAATAGAGTGGAAACCAAAAAAAGAATTAGAAAAAAAAAATATCCCTGTNATACCTTTTATATGTCATTTAAAATAAAAGCTATGGACAGTACATGTAGATAGATAACAGTACAAGCTACAGCATTAAATACCAAAATTTTCTAAAAAATAATGTGTTTAAATAAAGCTTTCTTGCATTGAAAAATATATTTACAAAATTATATTTCTAGTAATCATTAACTGATAATTGACATTTTCATTATTTACTATTATAGTTTTTATTTTTAAATATATAATTCTAATTTTAATATAATTGATAAATAATACTTTTATCAAAATTTAATATTTACTAATTTATATATTAAAACTCTCTTTTCTACAAACAATATATTAAAAATCTTTTTTTTTTGAAGTTATACAATAACAGACAGAAACTAAAATACAAAATAATTCACAAATTCAGATATTAATTAAACAAACTATTTAAAAAACCACAGTAAAAAAATCTTTGTCAAATCCATCTGAAACTTTGCATTTGCTCATGTTTGTCTTATTCTATAATTAATCCATAATTAAAGATACATAAAAAAAATATTATCACCATTCTTTGTATGATTAATAAGAGCAAGAAAAAAATTTTAAATATTAAAAATACAATACAAAGAAAGAGCAATTATTTATTGTGACATTGTCACAATGCTGGGCTCCAATTTTAAATTTATTTCATTTAAAATATATGCTCTCCACCTCAAATTAGTAATGACTTGCCCCTGTACATCATACTTTTTCTATAACAATAGGCCATATATCTAATACCTTTCAGGGAAAAATTTTTAAATTGAAATAATGGGACTTCTGATCTAAACTGGAAGTTCACACACAGTTAATTGGGGCCAATATGGAAACCTTAGAAATTTCCATATTGGCCCCAATTAACTATGTCATCTCAGATTTCATTTATCTAACTCTGTTCTGAAGATTAAGGAAAAACAGACAGATGGACGACAGTGGAATTTATAAATCTACAGCTTTTTCAAATTGCAATACAATAATGCAGAGTTTAATCATAGCAGAATAATTTCATTATTTTTTTAATAATAAATTCAGTAATGTCTAAATATTGCTTTCAGATAGAAATTAAGAATAAAAAGGAATGAAATCAAACAATTTTTCTCAATAATTCATAAACCATTAATTTGATAAAAGCTGACTTTTATCAAATTAAAATATTTGTTAATATGTAATATACTATTACCAGTAATTTATTTTGTACTTTATCAATATAAACAAATGGTCATTTCATTTATACAAATGAAAACTATTATCAATTAAAATAACAAAAATTTAATTAAATGAACTTTATTTAAATTAATTATTTCACAATCTATTTAATAATTTCCAAAACAGAATATAAATACTAATAATGTAACATATTAGTAGCTAATTTCAAGATCAATCATATAGATAAAAAAAGCAATTAAAATTTTGTTAAATATACAAAAATAACTTTTGATATTTCAACTATACTGGTCAAAACAACTAGAGGAACAAGAGACGTTGAATAGAAAATCGTTTATGACAAACAATTCTGAATGTTGCATGTTATTGTTATGTAAAATATACTTTAATATATGAAAAATATATGCATTCGAGCAAATTGTTGTCATACCTTCATTGCACTTGTTGCCAAAGTCACATTAGAAATGTAGAAAAGGAAAAAAATGGTCTAGCCAAAAGGAGAGAGCAGTTGTCATGTTAAGGAGAAAAGCAATTCCTAAAGTATTCCCTCCTTCTGTCTATAGAAAAGTCTATTGGTTTGATCTGACAGTGTTACGTGCTAGTGAAGGATTCAAAATTAGAATTGTTTTCATAACATTCACAGCAAAAAAGTGTTTGTCCTATGCTTCCCTAATTGTTTTTAGCAGTGTATTATTATTACATATTAAGAGATGATTCAGCCATTCTTCTGTTTATAAATAACTCATCAAAATAAAGTTAAAAGTTTGAGTAAAGACCTGGTAATGATTTTTAAACATAACTTATAATGCATGGAAACCATTTATTCATCTACATCAATCAATAGTACATTGAAAATGATTGTAAGAGATGCCTGATTGAATCTAAATTTTATTTTCAGTTTTTGTGTGGTTCAATGAATCTTTTTAATGCATGTCTAAAACAATGTAACAGTTTAGCAGTTTTAGTTTTATAAATATCTTTTGACACATTTTTGCATATTAGGACACTATATATAGTTAATATATTACTTAATGTACAATAATAAATTACATTATATACTTTCATGATTCAGAAAAGATTATATTTGAATTTATTACATATCATAGAAAAACTATGATTATAGACCAAAAACTTCAAGAAATATAATAATTATATGAAAGAACAATACAAATTAATAAATCTAGTTATAAAACAATATTAGTTTAATTAGTAGGAATTATATACAAATCTTTGTTATCATCATTATGCATTTCTGTAAGAAAATATAAAATGGGCATTAAATTTCCATAATGAAACAAAAACAGTTTAATTTTTTGTGACATTTTCAAAAGAATTTGCAATTGTAAGGTAAGTTTCACTAAAAAATCTTATAATTGAAAATTGTTTAAGTAAATGTCATAATTAATCTTGTTATTTTTTTCAAAAACTTTAGTGATTTAAAAATTGACAGGTTTTTTTAACTAAGAAAAATAAAAACTTTTTGAAAATATCAAATGACAATACAAATTTGTAATTATTAATATTTAAAATATTTTTTATATTGTTAAGATTTATTACATAAATTAAATAGATCCAAACAATTTTTCCTTCCAACAGGGATATCAAATATTCCACTTTTTAAATCTTCTAAGGTCTAAAAGTTTTAATACCAACATTTTTACCATACTAATTTGTTGTTCTAGAAATGAACGAATTCAATATACAGTAGAATCTCGATTATCCGGATTGTTCAAAATAAACAAAAATTTTACGAATTTGATGATTTGCACTTGGCAAATTACGATACTGTTTATGTACGTGATGGAATGCATAACTTTTTTTTGTTTCAACAACGTCTCACCCAGCACAGTGGTCGTAAATTCTTAAATATATTTTGCGTCGTAATAAAAATATAACTTGACATACGTATTTATAAATAATTTATTTTCAAATTACATCATTTCTATGACCAAGGGCGGCGTAAAGGCATGGGCAACATGGGCCCATGCCTCTTTAAAGATCTTTAAAGCTTTAAACCTCTTTAAAGCTTGTAGCATCTTTTAAGAGATGTACAATGCCAAGTTGAGTGGTGTGAGTTGGACTTTGAAGTGATACGTTCAGATACTGTTGATACCACTCCATTCATTAATTAATTTAATGTTCACACTAAATCGCCTTTTCGTTTTACACCATAAAAACTCTTATGTTCTTAGTCACAAAAAGCTGGACTTTTAATACTTCATACCCTTTACTCCTTGAAAGGCTGTTCACAAACAGGATTTTAGAATATGTTTCAAAGAGATACCTTCTTCAATTGCAGCATGTATGAGTATTTCGAAATCCAATGATTCTTTGTTATTTTGTTGATTTTGGTTAAGAATTTGCATGCTTGATAACTTCCTCTTTTGAAATTCTGTGTTTATACAAAATCTGACAAAGATTGCATTGTGAAGAACTTGAACTGACATGAGTGAAAAATGACCACACCAGACTGAATGAGTTGGCAATAATGTATGTTTTGAAATTGATTAAACAAGAAATAAAATAGTCAAGACAAACCTTTTACCAAGCAGTGTACAAGAAAAAGCAATATATATAAAGAATCAGAATCTAGCTTCAAAAATAAACACAACATTCAAAAGTAGATCA